TAGAAAACTGGCAACAATTACAGATAAAGTACATAGTGAAATCCTCAGGGAGAGAAAAGGAAATGTAATAAGATAGATGGGTATAATTTTTACACATTTATGCCCAAACCACAAATGTGAATTGTCTTTAATTACTCCAATATATTAAGCGTTTTTACTCATTCATTGTGTCAAATCTTTCCAAAATACTTCAAATTAGTTTATGAATTCTCTTTTACAAGTTTGTTTTTATTTACCAGCGTAAGCACTCACTTAAATTAGAACTGAGAACTTAAAAAATATCATTGTTCCAGCTTTAAAATCCAGACTTTGCAGTATCCCCAGTCTAAGCAGTCAAAATAAAATTAAAAAAAATATGTCAATGACAGGCTTTTTAAACTGCAAGAAAGGGGGAGTTGGGGCATATATAAGTGTGTATGCATAAAACCAAACATATGTAAAATCTCTCACCTCTTTTCAAACAAGTTCTAACAGATAAAAATCAGCTGTTTTATGATAGGAAAGAAAATAATGTTCCTGCTGGTACAACATTTATGGCACTTTTTTCATGTTTGAAGATAAGATTTCTTCAGTCTTAAAAATATTTTCACTTCACAAATTATTTTTTCCTTTGGGGGGAAGAGAATGGAGTGATCTTATCTAAACTTACAAAATATTGACAGTGGAGAAAAAAAATCCAAAAATCTTTAAAAGTTTAAGAAAAATATCACTTAAATGAGAAATACCAATTTTTACAAGGTTGAATATTTGCTCTTCAGCCTTCATGCAACTTTCACAAACTGGAGAAGCCTTCTCACTCTTACTTTGCTCCACTGGGTGTAGCAATTTACCACGCATGAGCATGACATTAATACAGGTACTTTTGTTTATTCCCTTATTTCACTGCTGCATTACTGACTATTTAAGCTGATCTCAAAGAAAACTTTATTAGTTGTATTTTTTATTTTAGTTCCTCTTGATTTATATGTAATAAAGCTCTCCATACACCAGCTGTGCACGCACTCCCAATTATTCAATATGGCAAACCAAATAGAGCTTAATCAGCTCACCTCATCTATTCAACAGCTGCTCATAATTAAATACTAACACCAGCATTCATTTTGAAATCTCCCTATTTCTCTCAAAGGCCAGGTGAAACAAACAAGGTCTGCAGCTTGCTCTGAGGGTTAATAAAGCCAGGGTTATTTCAGAGAAGCAGTAAGAAGACCTTCCCAAGCCCTGGGGTAATGGAACAATCTCCTCTCTTGTATTTATTTTATATGCTGCAGTTTAGATAAAGACTGGGGAGCATATCCACTGATTTTTACAACTATGCACAGAGATACATGGGGCAGTTTTTCATACAACAAAAGTATCCAAAATTAAAAGCATCAGGATGCAGACTTGTATTTAAGGGCTAAACAAAATCATATTTATATTCTTTGTCCCTAAATACTTCCTCTGCCATAGGTGGATCAGTTTTCCGCTGTGCTAATGACACTTTGTGCACCAAACAGTAAAACATTCTTGCTAAGTGATCATCAGTATATGCACTTGTTACACATAATACTTACTTTGCCTGTATATGCTATACATCACACACTTTAATGCTGCCCTTTCTGGAATTACATTTTAGAGGGTTTTCTTGCTGGTTATACTCCGTGCAGTATGGTACTACTAGAACTGTATTTTTTTTTTCCCTTCGCCTCAGCAGCAACAAGTGAAATAGCAAGAAATAAAATACTAGTGTAAAATGCTTTATCACTCAAATTGTAAAAACACCCCCAATCTTTGCAGGGCCACCTACAGACAAGCAGTAAAAGGAAGCTGCACAACCATCCTGGTCACCCTGGATCATATGATTCAAGTGGTACAAGACAGTTGACAGTTGCTGACTCGACAGGGAGAGGAGAAGGAAAGGTCCCCTACCTGTTCTCCAGGTAAATATGCCCTAATTTATTCAAGAACCTCATGCCATTTGCACAACCTCCTCCTTGGCATTTTATATCCAAAGAACTGCTTTGATTTTAGATCAAGTTGTTTTCCATTCAACTTCACAGATGCATAGTGAATTAATTAGTTACTCTTCCTTCATTAATTTTTATATAAGCAAAAAATTTTTAAAAGTCACTTCCATAGGCATTGTATTGTATTCCAAGATTCTTCCAGAGTACCCAGAAATTCCCCTGTAATTGCTTCTCTTGGTTTTACACACAAAAAGATATTGTGTCATTCTGTTCTTAACAGAGGTGGCTAAATTGCAGCTCTTTAGCTTTGTACAGCTCCAACGCACCCCCCCGCCCCACTGCACGGTGTGACCAGCAGCTCCACTGACACTGAGTTTGCAAAGTTTTCTGAACCCTTGTATTTGGGAAGAAGTAAACTGAGTTTACCCAAGTGCTGGGTGACAACTTATCCAATCCCAGCCAAGCTGGAACTGCTGTCCCCCTTACTTAGCTCTTTTGAGAAATCATGTGTGTATTTTGAGAGCATCAGCTATACAGCTATTTGTATACATACTTTGTAGAGTTAGCAGACTTGGCCAACCCTGGCCTCATCTCCAGCAATCTGAACAATTCTACATGATTTTTTTCATTTCTCCTGGATAGCTTTTTTCATTCTTTCTACAAGCAGGTTGCACTACTCTCTTCAGTCTTCACTATAGTCCAAATTCCTATTCCAGAACATCATATCTAATATTATTAGGATAAATTGCTCAAATAGCACAACTTCAGTACTGCACAATCACGTCCAGTAGTACAGCTTTAAACAACCCTTTTATGCCCCTGAGGCATAAGTTGAATTTGCTGTCAAATTATCCAGTATAGCTTTCTTAATTCCCAGAAGTGACTGCAATGGACAGCAAAAGCATATTTATGCTCTCCAATCACTTCATGTTTTCTCTCCATGTGGTTTTCACAGACGTAATGAAAAGGATAGCCATATCTCCTGTATTAAACTGCCTCAGTTCCTTCAGCAAGTATTTGAAAGCAAAGGCTTTAATTAACTCCCTCATTCTTTGTATAGAACCTGAGATAATTTAAACATTAACGTTTCCTAGTTTTATTTGGAAAAAAAGAATCAACAATAAAGCCAAATTATTTGCAATACACTCCTCTTCATGTTTACTGGGACCAAAGCTTTAACACATCAGTCAGCTTTTCCCTCTCATTTGTCATCAGTCACAGGTGCCACCTTACAGATCTAGAGAAGCAGAGCTAGAGTCTGAGCATGCAGGTTAGCGACTACCACTGAGTACACAGAATCAATACAACTTTCCTGAGGCACTGGGGGGGCGGGTGAAGTGTCCAGTAAATTTTCAGTTCTAAAATCTTAGCATTTTAAATGTATCTCCATTCAGCTACAAAACAGGTACCACAGACACTTGTCTATTACAAACCGATTTTCTGCCTCTCAAAGTCCCTGCATATGAGTCTGGCCAGCACTTATTTGTCAGTGCCTTAATTCTCGTAGGCGTCTCCTGTCACAACCCATCAAGTACTCTCTACTATCTAACTGGACTATCCATAATACTAATGAGCTGAAATGTATGTGACCACTGTGACCTGTAACAAAAGCAGTAATTCTATAGTATAGGTAAGTATGCACGGCTCCTTTAAAATGCAATTAAGATTCCAAGACAAAAAAAATCAGATAATTAAACTGAAAAGATCCTCAAAAAAGGCAGAAAATGCAATAATCAATAATAGTAATAAATATTATTATTATGAACATTTAAAAAGATACTTAAGTGAGACAACAGGTGTAACAGATTTTCACATTTTTTTAAAAACCGATCTGAATAATTCAGAGACTGTTGAATTATTAATTGCTTTTCAGCAATGTTTTAGGGGCAGGAACTTAAGATAATTGTTATAAAAACACTGCCGTAAACATTTCCAACATGATGATCTCCAAGAAACATACAAGTACAGTTACTGAAAAAATAACCTAACAACTGCTGGAGTGCACAGTGCTTACAAATATTTACTTTGCCTAAGAATCAAATGTTGCTTACATATGCACATAAAAATTACAAAGATGGTAATAAATTCACTGTTACTTTTCAGATTAATGACATTCAACAACCATTACACATGAAAAAATTAGAGAAAAAAAGCACACACTTTTCAGTATACTTTTGTGTTTCGTAATATTGGGGTCAGCTAATTCTTTTGCTTTCCTTAAAATAGATGCTTTTTGGGTTTGGGGTTTTTTTTCCCCTATTTGATTCCACTCAGCATGGCAACAGGATAAACTTTTAAAAACATGAAAGCATGATTTTTACTGAGAGCAAAACCTAGATCCATGTGTATTTCACACACTATATTTTAGTTATTTTAAACTAGATACATTTCAAAATTGTCAGTGTTGCTTAAAACAGACCAATGTTTTGTTTAAAGCCCACAGAAACCATAAGAATGTCAGGTAAGAATATTTATGCCCATAAAGTCAACAACACCCTTAAATTTATCCAAGCAACACTCTGAAAATATTAATTTGTTTCTCATTTTGATCCACCACAACACCAAGTTTGATAACGTCAAATGTGTGCTCTGTAACATTTTTAAAAATCACCATTTTATTATTAACAAATTTTATGATAAACAAATTCTTAATTTAATTCTAAATTATGCTGCAAATTTATAAGAACCATTTTGAATTCAGTACATCAACTTCTGTATAAGAAGCTCAACCCAATAGATGAAGGAAAGAAAGAATAAAACTAATATTTTCAACATGGATCCTGCCCCAAAAAAAGTTTACAAAAAGATTCTGTATAAATAATTTAAAAGGCAATCAAGGTCAATGAAGCTTTTCTTACTGAAGAAGACATACACCAAAATGCTGGGTTTAGTTTTTGTGTCTCACAGTGAGCTAAAGTAAAGTTATAACGTGTGCAGTATGTGAAAAAGATACTTTGGCATTTGGCACATTTTAGATCAAGCCCCTCTTTTGAAAATTACATTGGATAGGAAAAAGGTAATGTGATACCAGCTTAACAAGAGTTTTGCACTTACCAGAATTATGGCAGTAGTCCATATACTGTGGAATTTGGATTGTAAAGGCTACCAAATCTGGAGCTAAGAGAGATTCTGGCTTTCTACTCTCATTGAGCCATTTACTGCTGTGTAAGTCTCTGGTGTCAGAAGGGCCTTGAATTAAAGGAATCAGCTTCTCTTTTCCACCATCACCTAAGAGAAAGATTAGACTCCTTACAACTCTTACTGCAACAAGGTAAATTTTCAACTAACTGTTGAAATGAATGTTCATAAACATTCACTAGTCCAAAGAGAACAGCTATTAACATTGTAAGTACAGAATTAAAAGAGGAAATAGAAAGAGCAATCTCATATAAACTATTAAACAACTTCCTTAATGTTATCTTGTAAATGTCTACATCCAGGAGGATTTCAAATAAAGTAATCAATTCTCTTTAAAATAGTAATTTCCATCCCAACTTTATAAAATAGTATCTTTAAAAATCACCATGAACTCAATTTAGAGTTCAATACACTACATTTTTAGTGTTCTTGACATTAGCTGCCTTTACATACGAAGAGATCATAGACATTGATTGGAAATGTTCCTGCATGCTCTTCAAGAAAAATTGTATTAAAGAAACTTAAAAACTATGTATCACAGAGCCCTCAAGAACTCCACAAGCAAAATACATACTTGTAGCATTAATGGAAAATGAGACATTAAACAATAAACAGAATACATCAAAATTATGCTACAAATAAAGCAAAATGTTGTGTAATATGAAAATGCAGTTATTCCAGTTTCTTCAGTGCTTTTAGATTAATATTTGTCTCAGCAGAAAAAAACCAACATCTTTATTTTCTTATTGAGTGTAAAAATTGACTATACTGGGGCCAGACTGGATCATCCTGGCACACTTAACAATAATAATAAAAAACCCCAAAACAGAATACAAAAAAACCTCTCTGATTCATAGGAACAATGAGTAAATTCTTGTTTCAGTAACTCTCCTTGTAAAAAGCAAGGCCAATTCTCCTATACAGGCTATAAAGTTTTACATGGTCCAGCTGCACATACCTGGGGCTTTGGCACAAATTTTTATTGATCCCACGGTCCCAGAGGCACATTTGACCAATGATGTGCCGCAGTACTTCAATTCAACATTCTGGATTGAGCCCTCAAGAGTTGGCAGGGGATTCTTAGATTTCACACCTAATAAAAGAAAACTGCAAATGTACTAGCCTGTTGAATTTAAATATTTTTATATTCCTTCACCAAGGCATTTAAACTTAATTATACTTTAATTATCTACCTTAGATGTTCTTATAGCATTTTTGTTGTGATTCACAGTTTTTAAATGGAAGTGAGATAATGCTGTATATGGGTATTTTAATACAGTTATGCATAAAATATATACATAGATACTGTGAGGAAAACACACAAGGCCACTTAGAAATTGGAATAATAAGTATATATACACATACATACACTTTTGTTTTCACTTTATAAGTGCCACCTCAACTATTCTCTTTCATGTTTTTATTATGACGCTTTCATTTCAGGATCTTAAAATTACTAAGAGTTTTCAGCTTACATTTAGACAACAACATTTTACTCAGTAGCAATGTAAAGCATTAAATCCATGCAGTTGAACGGCATAGAAGGCCAACAGTACACTTGCCATTTTTCAACAGAAACTGGAGTTCAAACCTTGCCTTAGGTCACAAGTGGAAATAAGTTTTGGTGGTCTTTCCTCAGCCCCCATTTGTGCACACCAGAAAACTACCGCACCAGTTAGAAGAAATCGGTGCTATTGGCAGTCACTTCTGAAGAGCTGCCTAGAACCACAGCAGCAGCAGCAGGGGATCCTACAAGTCAGAACTGAGATATGTTGGCAGAGCCCAAGGGCAACCCCCAAAACAGCCCCAGAGCATGGGTGGAGGAAGCCAGCCCTCCTATTCCGTACAGCGCTGCCTATCAGAAAAAAATACATAAATTTACTTGCAAATTAGAAATAAATAGTTTCAACACCTGTAAGAAGTACGAAAGGAAAAACTAACAGAAGTTACCATTTTTTATGTTTTTTTTTCCCTCATGCAAAAGTGACTTGGAATTTGTCAGTTAAAATTGGCAAGCAGCTTGTTAATTATGCAAACATTAGTATAATTATGGAACCGTTTCCTCACATATGTAACATAGAATTTGTTCCAAAATCCATAATTATGCAAGGAAAGTATCAGGTAAAAAAAATTAAAAACATTTTGATATGTATTTCAAGATAGTTACACACATTAAAGAAACTTAACATACTCCTACAGAATGAACTCATTAGTTTTTTGCACAATCTCTCAAGGACTTAACCCAAAGAACAACCTTTAATATATATTAACTAGTAAGGAAAAATTCCTAAAAAATTATAGGAAGCAGAAGATTTAGGATTAAACCTGGTAATTGTGATTAGTTCACTGTGCTTATTCCAGTTCCTAACCATTGAAGTATATTTGGTAGTGCATATAAAACCATTTGGTAAGCAGACTTCTTGACATATATTTAAGTTTTGTTCTGGTAAGACATTAAGATAATTTTTGAATAAAAAGTACTTTCCAAGGTAGGAAGAGAGAAGCAGCATACGAAGGGACACATGGCATTTAGTAAACTAGACTGCCATGTGAAAGTAGGTTCCACATTCTACGTATACTTTCTTATCAAAATTCAATCAGTCTTCTGTGTTCGAGGTATGCCCAGCCTTTTCCTAATTTGTGATTCAGGAAGGCTTCAGGCTCAAACAATGCTCACTGCAACCCATTTGTGTGCCTGCCACTACAACACCCCATCAGTTCTCAGTCTGAAAGATCAGCTACCAGTGGCGCTCAGTCTGAAAGATCAGCTACCAGTTTTAGTCTCGTGAATACACCCTCATTCCCAGTCTTGCCCACGATAAAAAGCTGAAAATCCCTTTTGATCTAAGGTGTGGTATACACAACGCATGAATTCGTTCATAGGGTATCTGTAGGCATTTCCTAGTCTTGATAGAGGCCGGGGCCGGGGCCGGGGGGAGAAAAAAGTCTGGTTTTCCCTGTCTTCTGCCTATTCCAAAACAAAGATTATAAAATACTGTCAGTATTGTTAGCCAAGATTACAGTCAAAGCAAAACAAATTTGAGTTCATAATTTGACCCCCATCTTCTCAAAGCTGGTAGCTTCTTGCTGTCTCCATCTTTCAGCAACTCTTTTATGCCTCAAAATACAAGGTGTGATGTCTGATACATTTCTCTCACTTCACTATGGAATATTAAGTACTTTTAAAACTAAGTATTTTCCATCATGGAGTCCACTTTTAGATGCATTACCCTGGACAACCTCTCTGCATTAAGACTAAAATTTTGCATGTTAGTGACATGCGTAGCTTAAATTTTGTTTTAGTATCATATTCGAAAACAAAGAACCAAGTTTCACGTGATCGTGCTCCCTATTTGCTTCTGTTCACTCTTATTCCCTCACCAAATAACTTCTGGACTCGTTGAATTTCAGCAAGATATGGCAGCATTATTAAAGACATTTATTTCCTACAATCTTCATGGAAATGTGGGTATATTTGTCCTGTTACCTGACCAGTCAGCATACGTATGACAGTCAGCAAAGCATAGCTCAAACTAGCCAATGCACTGTTTTTCACCCAGCCAGCAGTTAGGGATCATGATGGGAAGCTAGGAAAGCTGAATGGCTTGGCCTTGAAGAAACCCACAAACCCTCAATACATGATCATGTAATTAAAAATTATATTTTAATGCATACAAAGAAGTAACTGATAGCAGTAATAAGCTATTTCTTTCTGGAACACCTGTTTAAGAGTGTTCATCCTATACCTTTCTCAGTTGTTTTCAACTATTTGAAAAGAAAATAGAAAAGTATCAGGAAAACATAGCATAATCATGCCCCTCCTTTTCTACATTGCTTTGACATCAAATGGCAACATCATCCTGCTCTCAGTTTTAACACCCAATAACCACAGCACACCACCGTAATCAAGGAGAAGTTGCAAGAAAAATTAATTCTGCTCAGGTTTCACAGCTCCGGACTGAGGGATACTCAGAAAAATAATTTATTAAATATTAACATCCTATACAGAACCTACAATAAGGAATAAGGAACTTAGGATGTCTAACTAGACTTTCATCACGAAGACAAAAATCACCTGAACCTAAGGTGATTCCCCTTGCCCAGTTACAAGTCTCTTTTTCAAAGCGCAGAAAGTTTAGAGACTTTTGGTGAACCATTTATAAATGAATAGGTTTAATAAAAGGAAACGGCACATTTTCTTCAGCGTCTGAAAATTTTTGGAAATTATGAACCATCCCTCAAACTTGTCAAATTGGCAAGCTGCTCTACAGAGAAGAAAGAAGCCTTGTTTCCTACATATGCCTCTGACTATCTGTAGTTTCCATCCCAGTAACTTTAGTTCTTCCCAAATATTCTCCCTTATTATCTCTTTCATCATGAGAATATCACTATAAAATCAAAGTCTTAATAGTTGTACACATAGCTAAAATATTCCTTAAATACCTATTTCAGCAAGCAAATGTTTAAGCAAGTGAAGACTGGGGCTTCCTTCCCTCCCCTCAATGTTTATAAACTTTTCAGAAGTAGCGTCTTCTGAAGGGATTGATTGAGCAGGCAGATGTTAAAACTCCTAGATAAGAAATGCTCTAGTCCTCCAAACACTAACTCAAATTTAGTATGGAGATAAATACTCCACAAGATTTTAATTAAGACATTGAGCATGAATTCAAAGAGGAACCAGGGAAACCACATCTATCATTGCCAACAGAAACGTTATCCAAATTCAACGTCCTGCAAATAAAGCATGAGAAAGGCTTATTTCCAAGGTACAAGACAATGAAGTAGAACTTGTGCTGTACTCACTGTTCTGGAATCACACGTTCAAAAGCAGCACTGTGATTTACTTGACTTTGTTGCTCAGTGTAGTCAAAATTGGAGAACAGAGCAACCATGTTTGTTTTTCAGTACACCTCACATTTTCTTTAGTTAATTTATTTTCATCGGGAGCATGGTAATCGAAGACTTTATGGAGTTAGAGAGATACATATACCTGTCTCCACCAAATATAACCTATGGCTGCTTCCAGATAAAAATGACAATTTTCTTGTTGTGTGATTTTCATACTGGAAACATCTTGCCCATTGTAGAACTATTTGCAGTAAAAATTAAGTGTTTCCTTCCCAGTATATAACCATGTTTATACTTGGTGATGAAACATAATCTGTTTTAGTTGAATCAGACTATCACACATAGAATATAACACATCACCAAAGACCTAAAAAGCAGTTCTTTCCATACTGCAGAACCCAAAAATAGGCAGAAAGGTTTTCTAACTTAAAACCTACTACACCTTGACAATTTACACTTGTGCACACTAACTCACTTTCATTTTAACTCCAAGCCTAACGAGCCATTCTGTTCTAGAAACACACACAGAAGTACCATACTGCTGAGGAAGGTTCTCCCACACTTTAAAGCAGACATTCACATCCTTCCCCCAACTTTTCTCGTCATAGCTTTGGTCCTCTCCATGACCATAACCCAACTACGCAGCTTGCCCCAAGTCCCTGCATTCAGTGACATTCTATGTGCGAGCAGGAGGGAATCAAATACCTAAAGGCAGGTCACAATTGTGTCTTTATAGATCAGACCAGGATTTCTGCTAACAAGCCCATTAATGCTGAGCAATCATTTAATTTAAGACTGTTAAAAAAAGTTACCTAATTAGTGATTTTTACCAATGGCCTATACATCTTTTACCAATCTGTTCATAGTAAGGTGAATTTGCAATGATTAATGGAAAACCAAGAGACAAAATCTAAACTGATCAATAGAAAAGACAGGAAACCAGCAAAAGAGGTATGTTACTGATTCTGAGGACAAGAGTCAGGACTGTGTGCCGCCAAATCCCTGAAATACAATAAATAATTCTTTAGAAAGATCATAAAAGAGAGAACTGCAAAATATGAAATAGGAAATGAATAAGGCATGACTAAAACTTTTAGAAGCAGCTCCACATGAATTCTCCCCATATTTAGGTTGTGGCCTCAGAAGGAAAAATTTCAATATTTAAAGCATTAAATACCAATAAACTATGGTTTGGCAACATGATATAGTAAAAGACTGTCACATACATGTCAAAATGATTTCAAA